CCTGGTCACAAAATGTAAGGTCACACAGTGTCATTCCAGCGTGGGAAAAATTCATGCTTTAAACTGAGACCCAGTGATGACTTTAGTGATTGAGTCAGTATATGTGATGGTCAAAAAATGTACAACTGAATCGCATTATCATTTTGATGAAATAATTCATCCCTTACCATATTAGAGGTCTTTGGGAGTGGATTATAGCTGTGAGGGTGAGACACAGCATTTGTTCTGGGAGACCTGATGACCTGTGAAGTGTGCAAGAAAGGTAAGACACGTTATGAACCAGAAATGCAATGAAATAGACGCAAGACCAGTCACAGAAAATGGACTTTTTTCTTCGGTTTCACACAAATTAATGTTGTGCATCTATTCTTGTGTTTGTTGTAGAATGAGTTCCATCGGTCGAGTTCACAGTACGACCACCATTGTTAGTGACCTACCACGACGTAATCAGAACTGTTGTAGTTAGACGGTTATAAACTTTCGACATATGTATCGTGGCACTGATGCATTTTCGGCTGCATTGTGGGAATGGCACAAACCCTCCTACTCTGCTCACAGGTAGGTGTTAGTAATAGATCTTTAGCATCGTCACTGTATTGTTAACTTGTATCAGGGAGTAAAGGTTTGAAAAATACAGTTGTTCCGAAACTTTGTTAAATGACATTATCAGTCACGTATGTGTATTTAAGAAACAAAGAAATGTCTGACTGAAAGTATTCACTGACCGTGGTATAATAGAAACGAAACTATTCAGATGCATTATTACCACCTCTATAATGATTCCAGTATTGAAAGACCACTTCGAACTTGTTGAATCTTAAGCACTCCCAGCTTAAGTCATCCACTGTAACTGTAATGTTCAGCACTAAATATTTAATGACTAATGTCGTAGGCTAAACAGTTTAGGAAAATAGTTTGCTTCTATTGAAAATGCTGTTCTATGCGTAATGGATTGAACTGAGTATTAAAACATCAAAGTAGTTTACACAACATGATAAGTTTCATGTTTTCACAATATCTCCAACAGATTTATCAAAAAATAAATTTATCATTGTGTGTAAATTATTGAAATACAATTACAATACAAACCAACACTTGAATAACAATTATAATTAATTAATATACATACATTATCATAATTAGACAAATCATATTCAGTCAGTGTCTCTCATCATTACATACTGAGACCAATACAAAATAATCTCAAACCTGGATGATACACTGTGTTGGTGAGAAATAATGGGGTTATTTCTGATTAGACTGATATGTACCAAACACTGTTTATATAAATGCATCAGATCATGTGAATGTGCATGGGAGGAAAATTAAGGCCTTTGAGACATCCTCCATCATTAAATCATGACGATATATTCATCCGTAAAAACATACTATCGTGTGCGAATAAAATTGAAATATCAACCACAAAATTATTGTTTTACATATAAAGAATCATAAATCGGAATAGTTCAATATCCAAATGTTTGCAATTTTTCGATTGTTCATCAGAAAATATTTGAATTACAACGGAAATTAGAAGACTAATAATATCTTACGCATTCTTGAATTTGATTCCACTCTCTCACCAGATATAATTTCTTAAAGGAAACCATTAATACACGATTCTACAGCGTGATGATGAATTCGTCAGAAGAAGTCAATTCGCTGAATACAATAAGCGACAAGAATGCCTTCTAATTTCTCAACACTCTTGCTCATATAAAGTAGATTCCAGATGGTTAAAATATGAATTAGTGAAATTATTCTTATATTCTGACTTACTAGAAGACTAACTAGACTGACTGGAATGCACTAAATGCTAAATGAGTAAACTACACACTCAACTGAGTATGAAATCGATTTAGAAGAGAAAAATAAACGCAAAATTGTCAACATAACTAGCTAGGAAACAAACAAACAAAGTTAACTTAATTAGACAAGATTACCAAAGGTTCACATCAGTATCACATGGCACACATCACTCAATTTAGACTAGATGAACGCCACTCAGCTAAAGTTAATGAGATGAGAATACTTTCATAATATTCAACATAAAAGATGCCGCAGAATATAGGTCAAACAGAGAAAGACGAAGAAAAGAAGAAAAAGGAATGAAAGCAGTAGTAGACTGTTAATAAACCGTGAGAAATACTGGATGAGAAAATTTGATAGCTGTTACGGAATTCTGTAGACTGGATGAAGCTACAAGTAGAACGATACTTAACTTTATACTGATATTTTTGAACAATAGAGTGCGTATTTCTTTGCACTAAAAACTATCAAGTTCCAAACAGAGTATCCCTTGATTTAGGTGTAGTAATTGGCAGTGTCGCATAGATAAATCGTATAGATTTCGGAGAGAAACATCTATCTCACTGAAGTACAACATCTGAAAATCAAGCAAGCTAATTCGGTTGGGAGACATATAAACTCATTGCGCCTGAATTAAACCCAAGAATCACTGGATGAAATGACCTTGAATGTATGAACCCTGTCGAAGGTTTCACTTGACTGAAAGCGAAGTTACTGTCAGTTGCAAAGAAGAGGTTTCTGAACTGTTTAATGAGATGGGGTTGTATGCCGAAACACGTTATTTCTCAGCCATTGATCATACAGGATTTAGTAGCTGTCTAGATTGCTTTACATGTGTTTATACAACGATGAATTGGTCTAATAAACAAGCGTAGCCCATCAAAGTGCAATACTGAAAATACTGGCTGGATTCGGAAGCCATCTTGAAAACGTCCACACTCAGTTCAAAGTGAAATGATCAAGACCGTATACAATAAGTCTACACTTGACTGCATAGGCCAAACGGAGCAATCGAAGGTCCTACTGCATCTTGAGTATTATCCAATCCAATGTTCATGATAAAATAGTTGCCTGCACATACCTAACACGTATTCTGGCCATCTCAACTGATGCAGTTTCACAACCGCATGGATTAATTTCCCCTCCCTACGTCAATCCCCAATGACACCCCCAACCACATACACCTGTGTACGACAGCAGGACAAAGCCTGTAGTTAAAGATGCTTAACTGCCTCATTTCCCCCAATTTGAAAATCAAGGTTAGAAAAAAACATTCGTCAACATAATCCGAATTATCTACGTGACACAACCAATTACTACACCTAAATCAAGGGATACTCTGTTTGGAACTTGATAGTTTTTAGTGCAAAGAAATACGCACTCTATTGTTCAAAAATATCAGTATAAAGTTAAGTATCGTTCTACTTGTAGCTTCATCCAGTCTACAGAATTCCGTAACAGCTATCAAATTTTCTCATCCAGTATTTCTCACGGTTTATTAACAGTCTACTACTGCTTTCATTCCTTTTTCTTCTTTTCTTCGTCTTTCTCTGTTTGACCTATATTCTGCGGCATCTTTTATGTTGAATATTATGAAAGTATTCTCATCTCATTAACTTTAGCTGAGTGGCGTTCATCTAGTCTAAATTGAGTGATGTGTGCCATGTGATACTGATGTGAACCTTTGGTAATCTTGTCTAATTAAGTTAACTTTGTTTGTTTGTTTCCTAGCTAGTTATGTTGACAATTTTGCGTTTATTTTTCTCTTCTAAATCGATTTCATACTCAGTTGAGTGTGTAGTTTACTCATTTAGCATTTAGTGCATTCCAGTCAGTCTAGTTAGTCTTCTAGTAAGCCAGAATTTAAGAACAATTTCACTAATTCATTTTTTAACCATCTGGAATCTACTTTATATGAGCAAGAGTGTTGAGAAATTAGAAGGCATTCTTGTCGCTTACTGTATTCAGCGAATTGACTTCTTCTGACGAATTCATCATCACGCTGTAGAATCGTGTATTAATGGTTTCCTTTAAGAAATTATATCTAGTGTAGGAATTGAATGAATTTTGGGAATTCAGAAGATAATAATAGTATGAAATGCAAACCAAATATTGTGACCGTAATTTTATTTGTATTTCAAGTGAACAAACATAGAATCTATGCCTATATGTATATTTATTGTGGATAGATATTGTATAAGGATTTGTATAAAAAATTATTTTGTTATGCGAAGAAAGGATCATGGAAACCTCGAATTAACCTTGTTATCGAGGGTTGCAATGTGGTATCCATAAACCAGATAATGAGGATCACATTTGGTATGACGATGTGGATATGTGCTGTTGAATCCCCATATTCCACTAGCAACTAGAAGGAACAGTAATTGAATAGTCCTTTCACTTCATACAGTCTTAATTTCCTCCTTATATATTCCTAAGTCGAATGTTTGTCTTATCGAACTCCACAAAGTATGTTTTGTCAATACATTACACAGTTGAAATCCATCGCCTGTTCTAATTGTTTTGTCGAAATTCATAAACGCTACGAAATTTTTTGAAATCGTAATTTATCCAAAGATAGATTTTGTCACTGATTGATATTACTTAGAGCATCAGTCTCATCAATGGTACATATCTGTGATCCTATGATGCAGGGTTTTCAAGATTTTAACTATTGTGTTGAAATCCATTTACTCATAAATTCTTATTTCTGTCTTTTTCGATTTATCGTCACTGTCAGCTAATCTCACATCTTAACACCTTCCCTTACATCCCCATAGTGAAACCTGAAGAGAATCAAGTTACTCACTATAAACTAATCTTTTAGGAATCTACTCACTTTGAATTATTTATCAGTCTATTTTATGCGAAAGAATTGGTTGATTCGCCTTCACATGGATGATGAATATGGACAGCAACAATGACCGTAAATCGATAAAGTGTTTTTTTTTCTGTAACCAATGTACTACTGACTATTTATATATGTTAGCTATTATGCTGTGTTACTTGCCAAATGTAGATGCATCATTAGATAGGTGAACACAAAAGTGAGATACACATATGTACACCATATACATACATAATGTGTGTTCATACATAACTATAAAAGGGCTTTATATGAGAGGTTTAATCATAAAAATATTTCGCAGGAGTCAATAGTCATAACAAACACTGACGAGAGATTTCCAATCATGCGAAATTCGTTACTTAAAGCATCAATTTGCCTTCTGCTTCTATTATCTAACAATAATGCAACTAATGAAAGTAAGTTGATCATTATTCCTTTTTTATAACTTGTCAAAATACTCAACTGTACACTGTCTCCGCAGCTGGATTTACTCCTACTATTTCTCTATGCTTTAGCCTACTCTCCAATTGGATAATACATCTGATGAATAAGCTTTGCACTGGAAGTATTCTGTGCTGCTTAACATCAGGCTTACTGGTGATTTCCTTTCCCATCCTCATACGCTCTGTCTTACGAATGTACATGTGAAACAATACCGATGCCTGGAAATATGTGAGAATACATTCACCGATTAAAACCATGTACTGATGGACAGAAAGGTAATGAAACAGACAAATGCAACTATAAACAGACACATACATATACACAAATGTAGACATAAAAAAATATCATTAATATATATATATATATATATATATATACATTCATCGAAGATTGGGAATCATATGCAGTTCGCACCCACTGGGGTTCGAACTTGGGGCCTTGCGCTTATGGGGCAAGTTCGTGGACCATTCAGCCACAAGGACATAACTCATCAACCACTGCAAGAATTCTTACTTCTACCTAATCTTGATTAAGCGCGACCACAAAAAGAATGTCATTGGTGGGACATTAATCCCCACACTTGACTGGATGGACCTTTCCGGTTGAGACTTCCAATTAGAACTATACACATATAAATAGTGAAAGTTATGCAGAGATAAACATATACACATGTACAAATATATATATATATATATATATATATATACCGATCCTCGCTTTGATATCATCGTCAGTTTCGCCTGTATTTCAAATTATCCTCCCCAGGTAAACTGAAGTAGGTTGCTTCTTTTAGATTTCTCCTACCTATACTGATTGTTGTCTGCTGTTGTTGCTCTTGCTGTTGGCCGAGGATCTTCATCATCGGTATCTTTCTGTGTTTACCTGAAGGAAGTTCTATCTATGATGCATGTTCTGCCAACTTGTCACTCTTCAGCTGCATATCTTGCAATTTGTGGGAAATCAGATCCTCCAGGATTTTTGTGTGTGTCCATTAATGTCTGTTTCCCTCCACCGCTGTCTGTCGAATTATCCAGTCTACCGCAATAAGGAAAATCACTGAAGATAGTAGGCAGCAAGCCAGCCTTGTCTTACTCCTATTTTCACTTCTTCGAGGTATTCCGTGAGTTTCCGTTGTGGATTACTTGGCATGCATCATCGTCGTACAACTGCTGGATGAGATGTATGATTGTTGGCGGCATCGCGTAATAGAGAAGTAGTTGCCAAATCGCCTCTCGATCAACGCTGTCAAAAGCCTCTTCAAGGTCAATGAAGTTGAGATAGAGAGGTTACTGCTATTCCAAGCTCTGTTCAATGATGATCCGTGGAGTTGCAATTTGATTGATGCAAGATTTGTTCCTCTTGAACCAAGCATGTTCCTTGCCCTCCTTCCACAGCTTCTGCAGTAGTGGTGTCATCAGGTACACTGATGTCTCTGAGTCCGTTTCAAAGCTTCTGTTGCGATTTTATCTGGTCCTGTTGCTTTCCCTGTTTTGAACATCCTGGTTGCCTTCAGGACTTCTAATTTCGTCGGGGTGTTGATGTGCATTGGTGGCAGTACTGTTTTCACTGTTGATATTATTGTGCGCGTTGTAAGTGGCGGTCGATTTAGAAGTCTTTTGAAGTGTTCAGCCCATTACTTCCTTTTCTCTACCTCTTCGGTGATTGCCTTTCCATTTTCATTCTTCACTGACTGGAATTGTATTGATCTCATCTGCGATAGGACTCTAGTTTTTTGGTAGAGTGTTGCAAGATCTCCTTTGCCTCCACTGCAGCTTGTTCTGCATCATTTGCCGTGGCTTCATAATATTTTCTTTTGTCTTCCCTGGCACTCTTCTTTACTCTTTTGTTCAGTATATTGTATCTTGCATTCAACTCCTGTTTTTGTTGCTCGTCGATGCGCCGGATAATCTTTTGTTTCGCCATCTTTCTCTCTCGTTCTAATCTCCATGTGTCCATAGTGAGCCACTGTTTGTCCTGTCTCTTCTTTCTGCCTAGAACTTCCATGCTTGTTTGGCTCCACACCGTTTTCAGGTCATCTCAGTGCTTTTCAACGCTGATCTCTTCGCTAGTGTTGACTTGTGTCTCGGATTTTTTCCTTATGTTTGTAGTGTAGATGTCTTTTGTATCTTGATCATTCAGTTTTTGAGTGTTGAACTTGGCTTGTGCTCTGTCTGCAGCTCCTGTTTCCCTGGAAGTCTTTAATTTGTTTTGGAGGGTTCTTTCTACGAGACAGTGGTCTGAGCCGACGTATGCTCCTCTTCTTAATATTGTGTCCAGTAAGCCCAGACTCCACTTCCTTAAGCAGCATTTGGTTTTCGCTTCGCCCATCTGGTGACACCCATACAGCCTTGTGGATATCTTTGTGCTTGTATATGCTGCCAGCAATCTCTTGTTCACTACAGATGCAGAAGTTGGCACATATTTCGCCATTTTCATTTAATTTTCCGAGAGCTTCTCTATCCATGATGATTTACCTTCCTACGTTGTCTGGTTCCAGTTTGGCGTTCATGATTTCGATTTGTGTTTCAATGTCAACGACTGGAGTATTGTCCATTGTCGCCTGCAGTTGTCTGTTTAACTGTTATTTGTTTTCGAGGTCTGTGTTATTTGTGGGTGCATGGCATTGTTTAACTGACACTTTCCTTCCTTTGGCCTTGAATCTGGCAGGCATTATGCTGGGCAAGATCGCCTCCCATTGTACCAAAGCCTTCGGTGTTGATGATGATAACATGGCAGCCACACCCTCATTGTGTTTTAATTGTATTATGAGTGACTGAACTAGTTTACTGACTCTTCTGTTGACGATATATTGAGCCCATCTGCTCACATATATTCCCAGGAATTGAAGAGCATGTCATTTTATCTCACCAGCTTTGAATAAAGCATTAAAAAGAAAAATTTCACGAGATGATATCACTTCGTAGTCTCTTTACAACCGCTTTACAACTAACATGGTTAACAATGATAAAATGAAGTTCATGACAATTGCTCAGTTAAATAAAAAAAACAAAAGTACATACTAATGACCAGTCATATTTAAATAGGTCATGTTGTCCAGGGTAGGTGAAGATTGAAGTCCATTGTTTTTGTACACACAGTTTAGGCTGTATGTGATGTACCATTCAAAGGCGGCCATATTATGCAGTTGACAGCTCAAAGACTTTGGTCAGCCATCAAAGGTACATTCTACGCCGCATGTCTTATTCTCATTTGCTGAACATTTTTGATCCCTGTACCTACGATTAAAGGACGAAATCCTGTAGACTCTACCGCAAACTGTATCTACACGTTCACCTGCAGCTGCGATGACATCTATATAGTTAGAACCAACAGAATGTTCCAATGTCTTCGGAAAGAACATGTTCCAAAATGACTATTAAATCATATCGAAAATCCCAATGCGATTAATCTGAATAGAAATCCAGCATCATCCATTGCAAAACACTTATTAATTTCAGGTCACAAAATCAGTATTAATGACTGTTTCACAATTATTTCACATAACTCTAATTCAAGGTTACTGAAGGTGATGGAAGCACTTTGGATTAATCACATACAGCCTAAACTGTGTGTACAAAAACAATGGTCTTCAATCTTCACCTACCCTGGACAACATGACCTATTTAAATATGATTGGTCATTAGTATGTACTTTTGTTTTTTATTTAACTGAGTAATTTTCGTGATCTTTATTTTATCATTGTTAACCATGTTAGTTGTAAAGCGGTTGTAAAGAGACTACGAAATGATATCATCTCGTGAAATTTTTCTTTTTAATGCCTTATTCAAATTTATCAAAGGGACTAATTGCTTTTATTCGCAGAAGCTTTGACAGTTTAGTACATGGTGGGGACGTTCCATTACCCTACATAGACGTTTTCTTTTGTCGTGAGGAGGCTGATCGTGCTGAAATTTCTGTAGTAGTTCTCTTCACAAGGTGCTAGGTTCATTCCTCAGAAGGAGGCTGTTGCACGAATATATGGGTTACACAAGATAGATAGATAAAGTGGTATATACATAATAGGATAATAGTACTGACAGGGAAATACCTACATGCAAACGTACATACATAGACAGATAGTCAGAAATCATTCAGACATGGTTATGGCTACATCGATAGATAAATAGAGGGATGGATATTTAAACGTAGAGAAACTGAAATATGTATTTAAATATATATAGAATTAGATAGTTACATAAACAGACTGATAAGTATATGCACATTCACATGGAATGACAGACATATTGATAAATAGATGAACAGGTGGATAGATGGATACCGATTTGCTCGATTTCGTTAGTCTCAGTGATGTTAAAAGAGAATATGTGAGTCGACTTTATTATTGTAGTGCAGTGTGTTTGCATGAACGGCGATCTGCATTATGATTCTATTTGTATTTGCTGAAAGAACGTCCTGTCTTATCAAAATTTACCAAATACTTCTGTGTTTTGATTTCAGATTTCGACTACGACGACGATAGCGAATGTAAGTTTGTGGTGTTTTGCAGGCCAATAGTATTTTTCAGTCTTCATGGGGTGCTATTCGCACCACGCTTATTTCTTACTCAATCAATCGCTCCCTCAGTCAGTGACAATATCAGATGTCGATGATTTAGTCAATTGTTTCATTTGATAGGCAAATACGCAGATAGATATGTATATAGGTGCAGTGATAGATAGATAGTTAGATAGACTATTTAATTGATAGTCATAAATATATATGTGGATAGACTGATAGATAGTTAAATATAGAAATGGATGAATAGTTGTACAGATTATTGGATAGACAGACAGATATATAGTTAGGTAGTTTCCTAAATATTTAGGTAGACTGACACCTAGATATTTTTATTATTCCCTTGAGCTCAGAGTGGAACATAGGGCTTCAACAACACATCTCCACTTTTTCTGTTTTCTGCCATCCTCTTCAGCTTGATCCATGATACGAACAAACTCTCTCATCTCTTCCGCACACAATCTCCTCCATGTCACCCTCACACTGGAGACCCATTCGTAGCTTCCCAACGGGATTCGACTCAAGCACTGGTCTGGCGTGTGATGTCATTCGGTGGCCTCCTCAATGCATGTCCGACCCATCTCCACTTTCTATTGGTTGATTTGTTCCACTGAAGAGTTTCTTGTTCGTAATTCTTTCTGGACATTTGACTTTCACAATGGAATTAGCGAATGTGGTAGCTGTTAATGAGAGACTGAGACTCGTTGGAAATCATTTTCGTGACACGCTTGCCAATTTTTTGACTCGTATAGGAGAACAAACTGACTGACTTCAAATTTGCGTTGAAAATCCGAGTCTTGTTCTCTACGCTGGTTGAGTGAATTAGAAGATTTCCAAACTGTTTTCAGGTTGATGAATGCGTATCTTGACTTTCTGATACCAAATTGGACATCCTCATTCATTCCGCCTGTATTTGAAACGACGCTTCCCAGATAAGTGAAGGAGGCAACCTCTGTCAAGTCTCTCCTGTTGATGGCGATTGGTGCTGGCTGTCGTTGCTGTTGGTTGATTATCTTCTTCACCTCTTACATCGCTTTGTTCACCTGCAGTCCTGTCTTCACTGCCTCTTCAGCCAGTTAATTGGTTTTCGCTTGAAAGTCCTCGAGTTTGTGTGACATTACACATATATCATCTGCGAAATCCAGATCTTCCAGAGTCTTCTTATCAGTCGTCCCGCGTATTCCTGTTTTCCCACTCCCCTCTCACTGTCTGGCGCATAATCCAGTCCACCACAATTAAGAATATCACAAGGGGTGATAATAGGCAGCCACCTGGTCTTACTCCTGTGTGCACTTCGAAAGCTTTGCTGAGTTTTGCGTTGCGAATCACTTGACATGTGGCATTGTCAATTGGTTAGCTGTTGAAGGAGGTTTGAGGTACGCCATAGTGTTTAAGAAGTTTCCGAATTTATTTTTGATCAACGCTGTCGAAGGCCTTTTCGAAATCGACGAGGTGAGGTACAGGTTTCGCTGCCATTCTGCGCTTTGTTTGATGACGATGCGTAGAGTAGCAGTTTGGTCAACAGATGATTCGCCCTTCCTGAATTCAGCTTGTTCCGCTTAGGCTGGCGGAGTTCCGTATCCATTGCTTCCTTTATTCTCTCCAGAATGATACGACTTAATATTTTACTTGTTGTGGACAAGAAAAGTATTCTACGTCAGTTCTTGCACAGGCATAGTTTGCCGTTCATTGGCAGTTTGAGGAGGTAGTCTTTCTTCCAATCATTAGACACCATTCCTTCTTTCCAACCATTCTGCAGTATTAACGAGGAAAACATCTGCCAGAATCTCTGGGGTCGTCTTCGGCGATTTAGGGAATGTCGTCTGGTCCTCCTACCTTCGAGGCTGAACTTCAGTTGCTTGTTCGGATTCAGGATTTCGTCTTTCTTTGGAGGAGTGGTGTCCACTGACATTTCCGTGTTTGCCGTTGGTGGTATTTCTAAGCGAGTTGCCGGTATTGGTCGATTCAAAAGTCCTTTAAACTGATCAGACCATTGTTTGATTTCTTTCCTCTCCTTCGTGATCAGCTTCCCTTGAGCATATTTTATTGGTTTCATCGTTTGTGTTGATCTCTTCCCGGATATAGACTTGGTTATCTGATAAAGTACCTTGATTTTTCTTTTGCATGCGGCCTGTTCTACTTCAGTTGCCCAGCAGCGTGTCGTATAATTGTCGTTTATCTTTTCTAGTACTCTTATTTACTCCTTTATTCAGTGCAGTGTACATCGGACTCAGCTTCCCCTTTTCTTGTCTATCTCTAAATTGAATCACCTTCTATTGCACCAATTCTCTCTTCTTTCCCCGATCAGCTTCCAGGCATCCGTCGACAGCCATTCCTTGGCTTGTATCCTCCTTCTTTCTAGAACAGTTGTACACATTCCATTAAATATCGATTTCAGAGAGTTCCACACGTGTCTCGTCAGTGACGGCGCGTAGTGAGTCGAACGTTGCTGTGATATCTGCAGCTAAGGCGTCCCTTGTAGTTATGACTTTCGGGTTCTGAGTATTGAACATGAATTGTGGTCTGTCTCCATTTGTTTTCCTGGATTTCAGCTTCACCTTGAAAGTTTCTTTGTACCAGACAATGATTCCAGCCAACATCTGCTCCCCTTCTCAAAGTAGTATCAAGCAGGCAGGCTGCATCTCAACTTCCTTGAGCTGCATTGAAATGAACTCTATTTTGTCTGTCAGTCAGGTGAAATCCATGTTGCTTTGTGTATATCCTTGTGCTTGTTTACGTTTTCTGCGATCACCAGATCATCGAAAGCACAGAAGTTTGCGAATAATTCTCATTCATTTCGCCCAGTGAGTGCCGCTCGTCGCATGATGTGTTCTCTTCCTATTTTATCTGCTCCCAGTTCGGCATTCATAACGTCCATAAGGATTTTAACGTAAAAGCCTTCCTTCTTCTCTTGTTCCGTATTGTCTGTATCACCGTGCGTAGCACTGGATAATTGTGACCTTCCCCCTCATTTTGAGTTGAATCTTGCTAGCACGAACCTGGATGAAATTGGTTTCACTGCATTAAAGCTTTCTCTGCCACTGGTGACATCATTATAGCCACCTACGGCTTCAGTATGCTAGTGGTTGTCATCTGAGTGTCCAGACAGGAGTCTATTGCTGATTCGTCAGTTGAAAAATTTCCTAATCCACTTTCATTTCAGATGCCAAGCACTTTTGTGCCATATCTTCGCATTTTTCTGGCTACTTAGGCAGACTTTCTTAGCCTCCTACATTGAAGGGATATTCCATGCCTCCATTCGTATTCTTGCTTTCATCGAGATAGCGAAGACACATTGGCTGGCTGACGGGCTTGTTGAAAGCTGGGTTTCACCAGCCCGAGTCATTTCGCTTGTCCGTTTCATGTGAAGAATAAGATTGTTGTTATTGTGGGTTTTTGTGCTTTTAATATATTGTCTGCGTGTTAAGGTTTCTCTAGCGTTTTGAAAGATTTAGTGGTGTGGAGTTGCTATCTCCACGCCAAACCCTCCTTCTTAACTCGGGCTTGGGACCGGCCAGAAAACCAGTGGTCTGGTTAACTAGACGAGGTTGACATTAAGATATAATATAAATTTATGTTTAAATATTTATTTATAGATGGATAAATGCATATACAGACACAGAGATGCATGTAAAGATGCATATGTAAATATACACATACATGTATATAGATTGATGAATTGATACCATAATTGCTATGGTTTTGAACAATAGATTGTGTACAAAACAGCATCCAGTAAATAGTACTGTTCCACTGCGTGATATGTATAATGAACAAAAATAATGTATGCGTCAGTGACACAACTGTTAGTACGTTCTCCGACCGTGCATATCATCCGGAGGTCAATCCCCGGCCGTCGCACACCAGATGGCAATAGTTGGCCTGCTAAATTTTGGTAACCTAAATTATATGCTGAAAATTCTACACTTGTAACAAAATACTGTGTGGAATAAAACCGTTATGAAATAAATAAATAATAAAATAATGAAACAGTTAGACAGATAGCAATTTTAATGGATTTATTCTTGTCAGTGAACTACGGAAGGGTTTGTAGGACTGTTGTCTAATTTAGTCCTGTGTGTCATAGTGTATCACACTGTATTTGAATAAACGACGATCTGCAGTATGATTCCATCTGAAAAAACGTCCTCTCTCATCAAAGATAATTTAATATTTCTGTGTTTTAAATTCAGATTTTGACTACGACGACGTTAGCGAATGTAAGTCTGGGGTGTATTGCAGGTCAATAGCATTTTTAACAGTCTTCATGGTACGTTATTTGCACCACGCCTAAATGTCAGTCAGTTACTCACTCATTCACTCCCTCACTCAGAGACACTGTAAATCACTCATTGACAATATCAGACCTCGATGATTTCGTCAATCGTTTCATTCCATATGTATGCAGCGAAGTTGTTTGTGTTTTCTTTGAGGGTGAGATTGAGTGGTGCAGTATAGGATAAATGTGCATGAAATTACATAAGAATCGGCGCCTGCTGTTACTGGCTCACATATTATTAGTCAATCGCCCAGTGTCAGACACTATTTAAACATTCAACATGATGTCAGTTGTCGTCATCACATAGGTTTATCTCACTGTATAGTACACGCGCTTATTTATCATTGAGAATAAGCGATTTGATTTGCAATCTAACATTTCTCTAGGTTTCCATATTGGTTGTGAATCACTCTGAGAGGAATTCGGTGTTTTCGAAGATTGATGTAATATTTGTACGTGTGGAGATTTGTGAGATGACAGGACTGAGTACGGGTTTCTGTTGGTTGAAGTAGATGTTGGTCCTATTATTAGCAGGTCACGAAATGCCGTTACATATAAAGCATAGAATAATTCCTTAAGTTATGTTCTACTTCGATTTCGCGAAAGTCAACTAACAATATGCGTGAGAGCATCGTGCGTTTCCAGTACATAAGTGACTGGTTAGGACAATGAGAATTAGAGAGTGTAAGATGCAGTGTGTACGGTGGAATTCCAGGCAGTCCAGTGACTCATGCGGGCCACCACGTTTGATGATCATCATTTGCGCTGATCCGTGTGCATTTTCCTTCCTATACCAACTTGTTTACTCAGTCAGTGCAACTTCCAGATGTTTGCAATCGGTGTGCTTAATCTTAACAGCAACCACTTAATCTCATTTGAGCCATTTTTTCCTTTTCATTTTCAGTTGATGAAAACGAGTTTATTTCTTACTGTGAGGGTTTGCTATCGTTTGTTACAGTGATCTCTACTTTGCAATGGATTTCTTACTGACAGTCTATTAATATATGTTGGGGACGGTTTTGTGGAATATTTCCTATTGCTTTGCAAAAAGTATGTTTTATCCTAAATGGTGTAGTGAAATGTTAGCTTCATTTCTGCTTATCAGATTCTCAGTCTGCTGCTCATTTCCCAGCATGATATATTCATCTGTTGTTTAGTTTTCGTTCACCCTGATGTCACAATATTTTGTAGTTTATGCCTCACATTCTACTTGCGACCGTAATAGGCCCCAGCTCACAATAGCCACTGGTGGCAGGTTTTCTGCACTTATGTGAATAATCGTTGTAAAGATATTCCGATGCATTCGACTGATTGTCTGTTGTAAATATGAAGCTTCGATTTCCGGCGAACTACAGCATACATTGCTACCACTGCTGCGTGTTAGAAGTCATTCATTCATGGGGCGAATTTCACCAAAACTCAGAATAGCATCATTGTATTGTTAAATAACCAATAACACCACGATTATTTTCGGATGCGTAGGGATCTTCTGGCAAATTTAGTATGTAAAGGCAGTTTTACTTCGAAGCAGTTGGATGGACCAAGTTATGCTTTAAGCCCCAGTAACTACCTTCAGATCGCAACCGGACCAGTGACCTTGAAACACTCACTCAGCAAGGTGGCAAAACCTGAAAATAATGATGTCATCATCAATAAAACATGCTCATCGAATTTGTATTCTATTAAATGGGATATCTGGGAATTTTCAGCTTAGGTTTGAAGAAAATTAAGTTAGGCTTTAAAGCAAGGGCTAATTAGGGTAAGGTGAACCTAATTAAGGTGACTTAAAGGTTGGTTCGAGACCTGAATAAATGCATGCATATAATGTGGTTAAATTACTCTGTTGTTTTAAGAATATAATTTGTGCACTGTGGCGGTAGACTATAATTCCATTGTGGGTAAAATTGATTTTGATAAAGGCGTTCAGTGTTATACAGTAATATTTATTGATGACGTTACAAGCACAATTTATTGCTCAGGAAATATTACTGTGCTACACTACGACAATTTATCAAGGTAAATTTTAACCACTGTGTAATTATACTGTTGATACTCCAACCTAAAACTGAGAGTTTTTATCACATGTGAGAGCAGTATCCTGTAACACTTTTCTACAGCTTGGCTGTTAGCGTTGCTTAAAGTTTAACTTTTCCGTTGAATGTATTGTGAGATGAGTGTAACTTCTGACTAGGGAGATTTTTGTTGTCAGTTTACGGACTTCAGAAATAGTTGAATCCGCCAGCTATCTGATTTCTTATATCACGTCTTCAACAAGAAGCAGTTAGCCGCATTCTAATTCATCATACAGGAGAAGTTTATTATTTATTGTATGGCTTACTTAGTATATTATGTAGACTTAATTAAATAGCCCCAGGGAAATATTTTTCTCTATTTCAGATGATCCGAATTCAACACTAGGCGCATACGCAGATTCATACTGTGAGGCTATGAATTCTAAATGTAGGTGTTGATTTCACTTAAAAATTATTTTGAAGTTGTCTCTTGGCTTTAGACTGTTCTATAATGATCGGTGTTCACTTCCTCCTACTACTCATATCGCTTGCGTTGATTCGTAGAAGGCTAATCACCAAATTCAATCACTGACAATACTGAGTAGCTTTTAAAAATCTCTTTTGCAACTGTACGTCTCCACTGAATTTCGAGGAAACATATTTCTCATGTCAGCAGATGTATGCAATGTCACCTGAATGTAACAACGTGCAAATCTTTATTGCAAAGTAGAGCAAGAAACTGGTGCTTCGACGTGAGTGATATTGCTTCAACTATTTCAGGAAACTTGTTAATTTCTTGAGAGAGTAGTTTGTTTGCACGTGGATATTACAGACTGAGATGAGCTGAATACCAGTTGGATGCTAATGTTGATGAGACTCCAAGGACTACTCACTTAGTACTGTTTACTAGTGGATTGTGCGAAAAATATATATAGGTTTATCTGTAGGTGTGTCGATAATGCACAGAAGCCAGCCACACTTCATGAATAATTAGTTACACGAAGACAGAAGGTGAACATTTAGTCTATCAGAACTTTTGGTCAATCATATAAGAATCTACATACTACATACTTATTTCCACCGTTTGTTCGTTTAGTTCTTATGACTGAACTTCAGACATACGTTGATCCCCAGAATGCGGAAGAAACAATAAAGCCCGGTGAGTAATTTTATCAAGATATCTGCATGGCTGCAAATAAATTCGAGCCATAAATATGTGTTCTGGTCCTTTTCCGATCAATGGGTTATGTTGTATTTCATGCAATCTTATGAATCAGAGATGCACAGTTGTGATCCCTTTGAGGATGACTAAGTATCTCGTTAGTTTGTCATCAAGTGACAAAGATGGAATGTACCTTCCGGTCTATGTATGATAAAATCCATGATACGAGAATAAGGCTGACTGGTTGTGATGGCTGAAATAATTCATGTTTAAAGTGTGACACGAAACATTTCGGATCAATAGAGACTCCTTAACCTTCCTACTCATACTGCTAAGCGAATTATCACTGCTTTTTGGTGATGTGAAGCATATAACTGAAAGCCAAAGTCCCACTGACTGGCTCCACAACTGCCCAATTAACTTCCATTTTACGTAGACATAATCTCCAGTATGGCATGACAGCTCACCTCCTCATGTGTCATTCATGTCGTACCAACTGTCAACGGTCTCCCCAACGCATTTATCATCCAATTTCGTTTCCGGTTGCATATTTGTTGGTCAGTAGCTCCAAGATTGATTCATACGTCGACATTGATTTGACATTAGTCTTGCAGACCCAGATCTCGTTCCTTATAAACCCATTTACAGATGTGAAAGCGATGGAATTCTGTCTTGCATTGTGGACCACAACTGACTGCGATATCTCCACGCCTGCTGCTATGTGTAATTGAAACAATGCTGCCTGGATAAGTATGAGAAATGACTTTTTTCGCGTATGTGCCGTTGGCTGGTAAGTTGTGCTCATCACCTCTCTTTTCTCTATACTGACCTGAAGATGTATCTTCTCCGGTTGCTTCTTCTCCCAACGTGTTCGTCTACACCTGCATATCTGCGAGTTTATGTGACATTAGAGAAAAACCATCGGTGAAATTCAAACCTCCTTGAGTTGGCTTTTTGAAACAACGTTTGACCATCCTCTTGTTGTTCATAGTCTGTTACACGACTCAGTCAACCGCTACCAGGAATACCATCGGCGTACAGCATCACTGAGCGTTCCGTTGTGGATCTCTCGACATTTGCCATATTCATGTAGCTGTACGTTGCACTGCACTCCGTAGTTTGGAATACTTCCGAAGGTCTTTTCAAAGTCCATGAAGTTGAGGGAGATATTTAAATATAACCCTGTACTCTCTTTAATGATGAAGCAAAGTGTTGCGATTTGATCCGTTCATGAATTGACTTTTCTGAGTCCAATTTGTTACTGGGGGGTTTAGCATTCGGCCAATCATTTGGATCCTCCAAGATGATACAAGCTAGTATTTTTCCTGGATTAGGTAGAAGCATGATTCTCGTCCTTCTCTTGCAAAGGCAAATGTCGCCATTCTTTGATAGTTTAACAAGGTACTCTGTACTTTTGGCAAGCATGTGACCTACCTTCAACCAAAACACTACGTACTAGTTTTGCAGGTATATCCGTTGATGTACTTCAAAACGAACTCTATTTGCTTCTGTCGCATTTCGGACTTCAGTACTATTAAAGTCTTCGAAATATTTGACTTTGTTGGATGATTGGTGTTCACTGAGACTATTGTTCCTGCTGTTGATGGTATCTCTGAGCAATTCGCATGTGGTTTTTTTCAGAGTTTACGTGCTTTTTTTTCTTTTCTACTTAGCATCCCTTTGCTGGGCTCCACTGGTTTTATATGATATAGTATTCCTAGGTTTCTCTTCCCTGAGAATATTCTCCTTCACTTGCCAATATTTAGCATCTGAAGGTCTTCTCTATTTTACGTCCAGCATGCTGATTCGTCACATTCCTGGCATTGTGATGGAAATATCTGATATTGGTGTGTTTAAGTGATGAAACATGTCATTTTGTGCATGTTATATTGACACCTTAAACCAACAACTAAGTGAAAACACAAAAGTATGTGAACGATCCTCCGTCCTCACTTTTTCCACCTACAACATCTAGACACGAAGGCTAGCCTTCCCTTCTTGTTTGTTCCTATTTTTGCATTTTGATTTTTCCATTTAGTGTTGTCTACTTTACTATTTGCAGTTATCTGTAAAATTCTTCCCTCTCCTGTTGGTCCACGTTACTTTTAGAAGGACGGCACTAAAATCCGATTTGTTTTAATTGTATGTGTGTTGTGTGTTTGCGATTAAATGAAGTCTAATTTAAATCGAACGTCAAAGGAGCAAACAATGTGGATTGTTTTTGCTGGAAGAAATTGGGACACTGAAGTGTCACTACTATTTGCAAAGTGGAATCACTGCACATAGGCAATACTAATAGGTTATGCATAATGGATCATGATAACGAAACTGCAGTCAGAAAAACTTACAGTGGAAAATAAACACAATTACATATTTTATGTTGAACACAAACGTCCAAAAGAATGACAAGAAAATGAATAAACAAAGTATCAGATGAATGTGTAGAACAACATTCTGGTTTATGAATCGTAAGATGGATACAAATTGGTTCACAGAACTCCTTATTCATTCCATCAAATCTCATATATTCCAGTACCTACTCCTTCAGTAACTTAGACAGTAGTCAGCCTTTCCATCAATGTCATAATCCTTGGAAATAACAGTGATCTGACAGGTATTCATTCAACCACTCTCAATTACCTGATACTCAAACACGGAAGACTTTCGTCATTGAAAGGTTTCAAAGTACTGAACGTAGGCATGAAATTCCACCTACTGGTGACTTTGAAGCTGAGTATACTTAAATAAAGGAGCAATAAACTAGATAGGCATAAGTGTGCTGCTGACTGTTCAGGTTTACCCACAGTACACAAAACACAGATGATCTATCTTTTCACAAAAACCTACGACCAATAAATGTTGTGCGTCGGTGGCACAGTGGTTAGGACTCTTTCCGACCATGCACATGGTCCGGGATTCGAGCCTGCACCGACGCACATCTGATATCTATGGTTGGCCTGCAAAATTTAGGCTACCGATATCCATGCTGAAAATCCCATACTTGTACCGAAAATACAGTGTGGAATCAAGCTGTAAATAAAAAATAAAAAATAAAATAAAAAAATAAAATAAAACGTCTCCAACATGCAGGATAAACAACCAGGAACAGATTAGTTAACTTGAACATGAGAGAGTGCAGAATTACATAGATGAACGGCAAATGGAGAATAAGAAATGGATGCACAGCATCATTTCGCTGGTTAAAATTCTCTCTGCAAATAACCCGTTTTGACCAACATTACGACATGCACTAATATTTCGTTATTTTCACTTTAAACAGAAATCCTGAGACTTGAACACTTATATCAGAGTAAATGGGGGAAGGAATTTCTCGAGTGTAAGTCCTGTCATCCACTCACTCAATTCTTTGATGTCCTTAGAATGAACTGCTCGTTGAATAGTGGTGTGAATTTTCACTGAAATGAATTGCAGTGTCATCGGAGACGACCAAAGAATTCAATTACTAGACAAATAAATTATTAAAAAGAGTATTTTTGAGAGTGGTCTTCAGATGTCAGTAGCACAGAAAATTCTGTCAACAAACATTCTGCAAGATTTTATGGAGAAACCTCGAGTTGAGGAATGAACTTAATGTGCACATTCGGCAAAGTATTCCAGTACACATTTTGTCTATACGCATAGCACTAAATATTGATTTATAACATAAACGGTGAATACATTGGGCCATCTTCAGAATGAATGTCATTGATTAACCTTTCAACATTCCTTTCAATGCAATAACAATAATGTCAGGCGGATACGTTATCTAACGCCTAAAGCAAGTTGCTATGTACTTATTACGAAAACAAACAGCTCCTGTGTTTAGTTTTGATTTGCTGTAATTTTAACATCTGGCAAGTCCTCAGTCTACATTTCACGTTTTACTAATGTCCCCTTCTTACCTGCTTCGAAATCCAACTAAATAGCTTTCCAAAATCATCTGCACTTTTACAGCAATCGGTGTGGAAGATAAGAAGCTCGTAAATCTTTATAACGGTGGGTTATTGCATCCTAAAATAATTCACAGTGTGCATGAGACACAAGCATATGGTATTTGAAGACAAAAATACTTTGTTGCTGGTCGTGGAATGAACGTCAGCTTGCAATCATTTGGTGTGACCGATGAAACTTAAATGTTCATATTTATTTTTATTTGACAACGCTAACAACTGAAGCCGTTACTACTCATCTATACGAATGCAATCTAGTACATTTAATGAAGCATTTTAAAATTTGTTGTCAATTCAATCACTAGTGAATCAATTTCATCCATCATCTACCTACTCTAAAATGTCCTCTTCAACATTAGCTTGTTCAATACATACATGATACAGTGAAACAGCATGCATCATTGATAATATTCGGAATATAATTTAGGGTCCACATGTATATGAAGTTAATTTACACGACTTGGAGACTTTGATTATATAATTCTATTTTATTTTCATTAAATGTTGAATAGTTGAATAAGTTCACAATTATTCAGTTACATTGTGAAATTACTACTGTTATTCTAACTTTGTCTGCCTTGTCTTAAACTAAAATGATTCTAAGAACTTTCCGCTGTGGAGTATTCGGATTTAGCGAAATCATTTGCTTATTGAATGTGATGCACCACGGTATGCACAACCTAGCAGTGTTATTAAAGCAAGAAATAACTCTGTGGTCAACGCTGTCAAAAGTCTTCCCGAATTCGGTGAAGATGAGGTTAACGGTTGACTGAAATTCAAGGCTATGTTTGATGATGTTTCGCAGTTGTACAGTCAGATCCACACATGATTTGTCTTTTTTCAGTCTAAACTGATCCCACTGGCTACATTAATCTGTGACATCTGTGTATCTTACTGTTCTATTAAGAAATGACTTCCAGGTGATTGTTAAAATTGAATGCTGTTCGTAATATCATCTGCTTATAATTGAACTTAATTTTACACTTTCATATTGTAGCAGTGTAAAAATACACAAATCAGACTGCTAGTTATTTTAGGAATTATATAAGAACCATACAATGCTTCATTTTTCTGTAGATGCATACAGGAAAGCATTGGAAGAAGATACTGATTTTCAGCACAATGTTTCTGGTATGAATGATTTTCCTTAACTAAAAGTTATAATAAAACTTTATCTAAACTTCATTCATTTTGAACTGATGTTTTGTGCCTGGTCATCCTTTCAATCTGCAATCACACTTGCTTTCCAACCATGTCAATCGCACTTCTCCATCAAGACATTTCTGAGTGGAAATCCATGAGGATCAATCTGATTGCCGATAGGACGTTTCTTAACAAAGTAGATGGCTCTCCTATTTTTTTCTTTTTATTGATTTGTTACTAAGATTCACTGTTACGACAGATCGCATCCCAGTGATATTCAGGAGATTTTCAGGTTATTTGTCTATTGACTGATGACATCATATTTTCAGCTGATGATAATTTTCGTAGTTTGTATATGTGCTATCATATTGCTTCTTAGTCTTCCACAGAAAACGTATCATATTTGCAATACGTTATGTATGGCTTAGGTGGTCAACATTTTGCGAACCGTATGAACAATAATTATATCTAGTGAATTTTTATGTGTTCCTTCAGCTAATAAGGTGCTATACAGTTTGATGAAAATGCATATTTCAGAGAAGTGGGAAAATCGAAAAACTCTGGATATCGCACAAAGTAAATTCCGTTATTATTTGATATTATGTAACAAACTGAATATTTTTTCTTCTATAATTAGCTGATGTGCGTAAAGTCACAAAAAATTCTCACTTTTACAAAAGATTTACGACAACACATCTGAACGGCGATATTTCCCTTTAGACAGCACACCCACGAGTGGGAATTCGGACTAAGCGAGAACGAAAACGTAATACATCACTGACTGATATTTTTAAATCAAACCCAGCATGAATTCGTGGCGTTGTAGGACAAAACGACATCCTGTAGGAGTGTTCTGAGCAATTCATTGGTTCACCCCACAGACCGTTTGTATTTTGAGGCCTCTTGAATTTCTGCGATTTTCTCATCAGCACTGATATTTGTACTTGATACAGAATGACAAGAATACCTATGCGCAGACGTGCTATCGAAACAATGGAGAGTAGTTTAGAGAACAAGCTATAGTTCGCAAAAACGTATATGTTTTCACTTCTTCATATTTTGTCATTGGAATCCCTCAAAAATTGACTACTTGCCACCGGTATGTGGGTGAGAGCGCACTTACTTGATGGTCTGATAGCGTTTTCTAATAAAGCTTTACACTTAGTCAGTAAGTTAACTGTGGTGTCATTCGAACTGACGTCAGCTGAATCCATATTTAAATTAACTGATTATGATAATGTTTTAATATGTTTGTGCGTTGAAGTTTCTGTAGCGATTTAGTTAAGTTTTGGGGGTGGATTTGCTAGACCACACCCCAACACTCCTTCTTTATCCGGGCATGGGACCGGCTAGAAAACTAGCGAGCTAGTAATCTTGGCGAGGTAAAACCGGAAATGGAAGCGGCGAGTGGGACGTCCAAGGGTGACATGGAGGATATCGTGTGCAGAGGAGGTGAAACAGTATGGACTAACATGGATGCGGGTACAGCAGAAGACAGAAGCAGGTGGAGACGTGTAGTTGAAGCCCTATGTTCCACTAGGAAACCAAGGGAACAATAATGATAATAATAATGATAATGCTAGATTCATCGAATGACTGGAAACCTAATGACCATGTGATGCATCAATTGCAGGTAAATTTTTTGCGAAGACATCAGGCAATTTGAAAAAATACAAAGGTTGGTTTTCTTTCATTTTGAAATTCATCCATCGTAACTTGTAGACTATGCTGAATTATCTCTCTTGACTTTATAAATAGTAGTTCTTCTGATGTCCCTAATATGTCTATTAACAATTCCGCTGTGTGGTGAAATGTATTCGTAATAAATCATGTCTGAATATCCTTTATGACAATGAGGTACAGCGGCTGGTTGATTGTTTGACTCAATTATCGAGTTGTTTGAATATATGGAAAAGCCGTCTCCACGAATCCGATCATTATGTCTACCCGAATTCATTGAGTATCAGCATATTCAGAAATGAAACATAACGTCACAATATCCGTCACAATATCGAACTCCAGATAGGTGGATTTCTATCGGAACTATATCTACTGAGATATCATCCTGATGAGCAATACGGGATGAAAATTATGACAACGAATACTGTTGTTTGCATTTTCTCGCCAACAAACAGAAAGTTGTTTTATTATTATTAAGTGGGAAAAGCGTGTGTGTGCTTGCCAGCATTCATGCCTTATATACTATGATTTACTCAGAAATAAATCACAGAAATATATTCACGCAATGGATTATCAGTGTAACGGTAGAAGACAAGTGCCTTAGGAAAGGAATGCTTACTTTGGATTTGTGATCGCCATGCCAACACCACTAGAAATGTAGCATGTCCTTATAAATCCAACTCGTAACATGAGAAACCATTGTCACGATTAATCATTCAATAAATTCACAAACGTTTGTTTAAGCATTTAATATTCTATGCATACGATTATTGTTCTATAATGGACAAAGTCGAGCCAACATTGAAGTTGGACAAAGATGCAGTATAAATGCAGATTAAACCTGGTAAATTCACTTGTTTTTGCTAATATCAGTAAACTGCTCGAAATGTCATGTGATAATTTGAACATTATCAACACGATAACCATGAATTGCCAGAGTCAGAAGCCATTGCTATATTTTATGATCACTTCACGCTGAAGAATACACAATGAAACATTTCATACTTTTTGGTTTTGTGAAATTATAGTTCAAATTGAAATGATAAAGAATTATTTGAGAGAAGCGAATAAGAAAATGAAAACATTCAAAGGTAAGTTGATTCGATAACTTTGTATTCCACACTACTTTCACGAATAATAAACTGTTAGTATGAAAATTCACTCGTCATTGTGTTTACAGTCAGTGGTTACGTGTCCCACTTACTCATTAGTGACACATACATTAACTAGGTTGTATTAGATATCATTTTCATCACCAGTATAATAACATCTCATAAATATTACGAAGACTAGTTTTATCAACCGCTGAGTCAGCACTCGTTTCGTGAGGATTGGAGTGGACTTTTGAAAATTAAAATATTCAGTATGTTGTGACAAGAAACGTGTTGAGAAATAATCAGATAATTATGAAAGGCTTTCGGATCGTCAATATACTATATTCAGCATGATGATGGGTATGATTTGATGTTTCTTGAATAAATAAATATCATTCAACATTTTGTGTTTTCTCAGCTGACCTTAAAGTGTTGGAAAAGGCAGCAGTCATCGCATCTAATGCATACAGAAAAACTTCAAGTGAGTGAATGTATTCATCAGTTTTATCCGTGTACTTTAAGGTATGGTGAAATCACGAGTAGGACTGATATAATTAATCACTGGATGAATATGGTAATGTTTATTTGTGAAAAGTGGACGTATTTAATTAATCGTCAACATACAGATACCTAGTAAACATAATTTTCCACAACTATCCAGTAATTTCCACTTAACTGTACAAAGAACGTGAAGCCAAGTCTGACTTGCACTTTGCTTTACATTAAAAAGTAGACAGAAGAGAAGATCAAGCGTCCGTCTTCTCAAAATATTGGTTTAATAATTATATTGAAGATGGCATTGATCGTAGGAGTGGAATAGTTTACTTTGTCGTGGAATATAATTCAATATTAGAATGGTTCAGTGAATATAACACACATTTCCACAGTATTCATAACTGGATGACGTTCATATTATATGATTGCGTCATTATTACTCAGCTTATTCGCGAATTGTGGGCAAGGGAACATCTACAAATGGTGAGCGAACAATTTAACCTTTAATAATAATAATTTTTCCTTCACGTTCCCAATGGAACATAGGGCTTCAAGCCATTGATTTGAAGTTTCTGTAGCGGTGTATATTTTTACAGGATGATGTTGCTAGCCTCATACCCAACCTTTCCCCTTTACCAGCATTATTTCTGGCCCAGTGAGGTAAAGGAGTTCGTCGACCGGGAATCGAACCCCGGACCATGTGCATGGTCGGCGAGCGTCCTAACCGCTATGCCACCGACGCACCAATTTTACCTTGCTTACAATATTCTGAATTTGAAAATCTATTCATCACTAAGCTCCATGAGATTCATCTTGATTGAAAATAATAAAATTTCTACAACAAGAAACTTTTGAACTGCACGTTTAACAGAGAATGACATCATCATACTTGGATAACGGTAACTAGCTTGAAGATACAAACAATCAGACATTTGACTGTTAACAAGGAAACATTGAATAGAGGCCGAACAAATATCAACAATACATAACATGACATTTCGAACTGTTAGTGACTCTTTCTTAAAGATCTGTAGTTTGAAGATCATGTGAAGGTAAAGACGACAGGCCAACCAGACGATGAGTAAGAGTAGAAACTTACTCACATTGACTTTATTTGCATGAGGTATTTCCCTTCAATACCACCAAGTACGTATGAGACTATGAGTTTGATAACGAGTTATTATTTCTTCCAGACACATTGAATGATGCCGAAATCACAGAAGCCTATGAGAAGGCTCGCTCTGAGTTTGCCGACGGCACAGGTAATTTTACATTGTCTTTTAAAGTCTATCACATTTGATGTTATACACTTCTGAGGATGAGCACATTTCAAAGTGAATTCCGTTTTCGTAAGAATCAAAAGTAGCCTGTGTGGCTAATGACGTTTATATTATCAAGTTATTGTATTTGCTTATGCCAAATTAGGCTATATCATTGATAAAATTGGTAGTAATACTTGTCACACCAATATCAGAATCTGCAAATTGTTGGACAGTTGCTGACAGTTAAGTCTGAAATGTCTAAGGAGAATAGCGTCAGTTTACTGCTCGTGTGGTGTTTTTTTAAAAGTATTAAATACGCAACATATTCCCGATAAAGCTTTAGTGGCTTCATTAAAGGACCATGTAATAAATGCATGTTGTTGAGTTCCGAATATCAGTTGCACTCAAACTACTTGACAAGATCGAGTTTACTGAGATTCGAGCTTTGTTTCATATTGTCACAGCATGACATCAAAAATGCTACTGATACATCACTGACAATCTATTCACTGTTTCAGAGGAACTAAAGGAGAAAATAAAACAACTGGAAATGTGGAGGATTGAATTTTTAAAGTGTAAGTTGAAATGTAAAACTAATTTAGAACTGCCTAGTTCAAACTCCAGAGAATAGAATAAACTGGCTCCTGGCAGAAATGAAAGAAGACAATGAGCAGTATTACTGAAGTAAGTTTCTCCTTAGATTCTGATAGTTCTTTAAATTTCTAACTATCTTTACAAGTGAATATGAACTTGAAGTTGGCTTACACCGTTAACTGAAATCAGCCAGATGATTCTTTGAGAAACAAGTAGGACTGAACCTGTCTTCACTCGTATTTTCTGATCTCTAATAATGATTGATCTTCATAACTTCAGGGGCTGTAAACAATATCAGGTTTGTAACAAATGCAGGGAACATCGTAAATTCAAATGGTGCTTTGGATAGGTGATTTCGCGTAAGAGGAACTGCAACTTGGAATCAACCTTTTAATGTGTTTTAATCATCACTGAAAGTACTGCCTGTAGATTAGTGTAACTGTTGTTCGGACGAAAATTGTCGTCTATAATTTCTTCTATACAAGATGCATGTCTATTTCCAACTCACTAGTACTTTGCTTCTGATTTTAATTTGTTTCGGCTGAAGGAAAGGCAATTGGATTCCAAGGGAATTCAAGCAATATTGGTGAAGGGAATACATTGTTTGCGTATCTCTTTTTTGTTTTATTAAATATAACGTTTTCCTTTGTAAGATCTTGTTTTAGTTGGCGTTTTCTGTCTTTCTTGTAGAATGAGATATGTCAGAATGAAGTCGCTAACTGCAACAAATAGGCTAACCACTTGTGTAAAACTCGTGAATTATTGTTTTGACTGACGAATTATATTGAGTAGCTGAGATAAAATATCAATGAGGAGAAGCGTTATTATTTGCCGAAGACTACAAAGCACGTATAGGCACAAAGAAATCCAATCGCTTCGATATTTTCAAGTTATTTCCCACTGACATTTTTCATGAAATAGGATGCCGAAGGTGACCTGTGAAGATCTAGCCATGTGGAGGTTGATAGCACGTGGGTTGGTTGTCTACTGGCTATTTAGCCAACAACAGTGTACGATATAACATAATATACAATATCAGTTCTCAATCACACTATGAGTCATTCGAACACAGCAAATTCGTCATCGATGTTATGAAGACACATCATAGTCTGAGAATGACGGAATTAAAAGCCACATTCAATATACAATGTAAATAAGTCAACATTATGTTTTGAGAGCTTTTATTCCCACCATATTGGAATGTGTTGAAAAAAACATTGAGTATAAAAAAGTTATTCATATCTCTCATATGTTTCATGTATAAAAGAGATTAACCTGAATGTTGTGTACACTAAAATACAGTCGAATTAAGGCAAAGACAGTGAAATGCAGACTCTGTTAATAACACACTAAATGATGTAAAAAAGTCATAGATTTGCCAACTATATCAACCCTGAGTTGCATAGATGTCGCCTTCTGCAAAAGCTACATATGGAATCGACAACGAGCTGATGGGCGCATGGATGCCTTAATAGGATTTTCAATCGGGAAACACGATTCTCCTTCCTGTCAGTCGAACTGTCATTATACTTTGAAATTCGTTCATGTAGTAATCTGTGAGAGACTGAGGATAGACAAAGTGAGCGAGATACAGAGAGAAAGAGTGAGAGAGCTGATAATGCTTTGAAGTGATGATGGAAATTTACTTCTTCTTTGGTTATCCTGGTGATGATGAAATGGTGTGCTTGTTTTCGGCGTTAATGCGTCTCTGATTGTATATGAATTGTATTTCAATATAGAAAAAGGTTCCCATTTAGACATTTAGAAAATAGAAGGATTGAGCGAAGAAATGTTTACTTTTCAACTAGTAACCACAACAATAACAGTGTGAAGACACCAAGAATAGTGGACAGATGCGGTGACTGCAGAAATTGACGATTCATCATTGATTGAGATTCAGATATCACGAATTTGCAGGAGTACTGTACTACTATAAAAGAAGAATAAATACAACAGTCAAAGGAGTCTATCTCTTCTGTAGTGAATACTGAAGACTAATCCGCATAATGGGATGTGGAGAATAGAGAAAGAGTGAGATAGACAGAAAAAGAGAGAGCGAGTGGTCAATTCGTAGGTAGAAATGTGGTGAGAGTGGGTGAGTGTGATTCAGTCGCTCTTTGTTTGTAATTCCATATTAATAATTTAATAATTCCCATTATTAGGAACACAATATTCAGTAAAGAGACTCTTTTCAACGGATTTATTATCAATCTGAACAATCATATATATATATATATATATATATATATGGTTTTTGAGAAATTATATCCGGTGAGGGAATTAGGTCAAAGGTGTGAATACATGAAATAATAGTAATAGTAGTATGAAATACAATTAAAATATTTGTGATTATAATCATGGTTTAATGTCATGTGGCAAATTAAATAATGTCATATATAGAGTAATACATAAGGTGTATAGATTTTGGAAAGGTGGCACAGTGGTTAGGACTCTCGCCGACCGTGCACATGGTCTGAGGTTCCATCCGTTGCCGACGCACACCTGACATCTATGGTCAGCCTGCCAGATTTTGGGCTACCGATATCCATGCTGAAAATTCCACACTTGTACCAAAAATACGGTGTGGAATCAAGCTGTAATAACAAAAATATAATATGTTACATAACATGGTGTGAAATTTGATAAGATAGAATTATAAAATAAGAAAATGTAAAAATTTACATATAGAAAACATATAGCTTGATAATAAATTCGTTGAAAAGAGTCTCTTCGCTGAATATTGTGTTGTTAATTCTAAATTAGTTTGTTTATTAGATGTATCACACAATGAATCAGTAGTATTTACTGGATGACATTTCGAAAAAATTTATTGTTTGTGTTTGTGTTTGAGTGCGTGTTTGTTTAGTATGTTGGAGAAATATTCTCTCTACACCTTGTGAACTTCAAATAATGATGAGGTAAAAGTGAAACTGTTGAGGACAGAATTTACCTGAAAGCCTATTGAGAGGTAATCATGAGAGGAATAGTGTGTGTTCATGTATGCCTGTGTAATTAACATGTGTGAGTCTCGTGTTTTCGTTTTAAGGGAGAGGGACAAAATGGAGTTAGAGATGGATAGACAGAAATACAGTCAGAGAGAACACTGTGTGTGCGTTTATGAGTGATAGAGAGACATAGAATTTTAAGAGTTTATCGCACTGTTAAAAAGTACGCTAAGCCTCTACTAGAGAGCAGCGAAGCTTGATATGCTACACCATCAACAACAAAACCCATCCATCTTTTAAAACATTCATTTTGCTTCCCGATACCAATTTAAAACAAGCAATAAAGGTTAATAAAGCAGGATTTAATGAATTCATCAAATTTCGGTAGAACTCGTCAGCTGAATACTCTACATACACGGATATACATACTTTTGTAATTATATATATATATATATATTATATATCCGTGTATGTAGAGTATTCAGATGACGAGTTCTACCGAAACTTGATGAATTCATTAAATCCTGCTTTATTAACCTTTATTGCTTGTTTTAAATTCATTTTGCTGTTAATAACACCTGGCTTTCTGTGGTGATGTCATTTCGGCACACTGTCTTGCACTATCTATCCTACATCTGCCTCCTACTTTTCTACTCTGATAAATCAACTAATATAAGAAAACATCCTCATTTAGACATTTAGAAAGCAGAAAGATTGAACGAAGAAATGTTTGCTTTTCAATTAGATCCTCATCTCTGACTCCACCCTAATATATATCCACAGCATTTTTATTAGAATACACAACAATTTACCAATCAAGAGGCAATGTGTATGTTAACAATAATTAGCCAGTGTCAACATGTCAGTGGGGAGTTGATTAGAAGAGAAAATTAATACACACAATTAAAAGGTTGGAAATGGTTACAACACGTGGATTGTATAATGCATAGTTTCGGAAAAATGAGGAGTAAATAAGGAATAAGCTTGTACACAGGTTGATTACGTAACAGTTTGTTAAAGAAAATAAAACGATTTGGACAATGATAACTTGTAACTAACAGTGAGGTCATCATAAGAATAAAATAATTTTACAACGATAACATGTAAAGATGAAGTGGTATGAAAAAATAATAAAATAAGTTGGACAATTATAATTTTTATAATATTCAAAGGTTTAGGGGGAGGGTGTTAAAGCAGTTCGGTGGGTATAAATGAATTGAAATAATTCAGTAGGGGGTCTCATTTAAATAATCGTCAAGCTGTAAAACCACTAACCTATGATTTTAAATGATAATGTGAATTGTTACCCACCTGCCTGAGTATTTCAAAGAAGGATCTCACAGTCTTTGAAACAGATACTCGCCGGAGCATTGGCTAGACTTTTTATGCAGAGAAAGAATTGTTTAGTAACCGGAAGCCTCATTGTCCTAATTCATTAATTGGTAAAGTATAACAATCCTCATTCATACGTTGTGTCTACTTATTCTTTGTTTTGTTTATTCTGTTATTAAATCCTTCCCTTATCATATCAATGTGTATTATTAGTTTTACATTCAAGAATTTCTGGGAATGCCTCACTTGTCATCTTTGATGTTTTAATTCGATGTAATTCTTGCATTGTTGTGCTGTGATAGTTATCACGTTTTTTGTGTAAGGTTTTGACTGCTTACTAATTTTATTATATTATATTATTACTATATTATATTATTAATCTTATTATAACATCTTAACATATTTTGACCTATTTCATAAATCACATTGTCAATTATTTTTTCCCAAGATTTACAACCTCTTAAAAATATTCATTTACATACATATATACATAGTGACCAAATTTATTGGGTTATGGTCTCAACTCAAGAAATTGACCTCTATGTTTTACTGTATAGCTGGCAAAATTTCTTCGAGACACATGGTATCACAAAACTTTAAAAAACTCAGGGGAAAGACGATTATTTTCCAATATATTTTAGGCGGTTTTATCAAATAACAATTATATTAGTATGAAATTTACTTCGAAAGTGCTATGAGGCAGCTATACAGACAATGCATTTTTTCTGAATGAAAAACAAAACACAATAAGAAAAAAATTATTTTAAGTTCAAATGTGAGAAGTAAGTAGGATAAACGAGAATATTCCTAACGAGTTTGGAACATCAGCTCAGTCCACAAGAATCACACTTTAGGCATTCCTGGAGACAGTCGCAGGTAAGAATGACCTGTATTCAATCAAACAAGAACGTACTGTTAAAGGACACATTTTCAATGTACACATTATCAGAAAGAAGTAATACAATTAAAGATTGAACGAGAACAAAGGCAAATAATGAAGAAAATTATCAACATGTACCATACAAATGTCAACTAAATGATACACAGTCTAGTATGAATGCGTATAATACATTAACGAATTAGTTGAGGCGTATAAATAACTATGAATATTATATATAGATCATACAAGAGAAATTTCCTAAGTAGATGATCCATTACAACTTCATCCCATGGAAACAATGACACTACGGACACTTTAGTAAACAGCTCCAATCTTTTTGTTCCACTCAAA